CACCGCCCCCCCCCCCCCCCAGGGGAATGGCCACCCGGCAATCCCTTCTCCTCCATTCTCTCCGGATCTTGGGCACTGCACGCACACGCGCCCGGCATGAATTTAAGCCACCCGGTCGGACTCAAACCACGGTGAGCTACATGGGAGTTCAGAGACATAGCCATTATGCTAACTGCTGGTCCCACTCCGAAGATTTTTTTAATCCAATGATGACAAATTATCCAACAGACTTATTTCAAACCTAGATGAAAAGGCACATCAATAAATTCCGTGGGGAAGTAATCTCCCTGTTTGGCAATTTCTCCCTAAGGATTTGTATTTCTAAAGGGCTTTGCCGGTTATAATGACCTTGCAAGCCATTTTCTGGGTTCTCTTCTACTCCTGGGACATTAACTACAGAGGATGTCACCATTTCCAGCCTTTGCCTGGCCAGCTCCTGGCCCTTGTCAGCCCTCGTTAATTTCTCCATCACAGAACACATCGCCTTGTTTTACAATCACTTATTTACGTGAAGGTCGCCCCTTTAGACTGTGGTAAGCTTGTTGGGTGTCCAGCACTGCTTTTTTGCAACTTCAGTAATGCCTTGCACTGGACACTATGTGTTTCAGAGAACTAAATTAAACCAAAAGCACAGAGGCACTTTCAAATAGTTTAATAAAGTTCTCAAATTCGTTTTATTGTTGATAGCACCCACGGAATGAACTGCCTAAGGGAATAAATGCTAAACCAAAGAACTGTGTGGCTTCCAAGTCTAAGACTTCATCCTGGGATGCGGAAGCTTCGTGGAGAACTACATTTCCCGAAATCTAGGAGCCCCCACTCGCAGTTGATTTGTTGGCTGTTCTTGAAGGCAGGTCACCCTAGCCAATAGTGTGGCGATTACGTCCCAGAGCGGGACAGGAGGCGGCCAATCATAAAGGAGAGGGCGGGTGCTTCTGATTTCGGTTCGGAACTGAAAACGCCTTGGTGGTATTTCTGTGGCTCTTGGCAGGGCTGTCGGTGCGGAGAGTCGTTAGCCCGGAGCTTGTCCTCTCCCCCACTACCCCCCAACTCCCGAGTTAGCATGACTTTGCCTTTCCCCCTTCCTATCGTTTTCCTGTTTTCCGCAGCCTTCCTAATCGAGTGGGTCTAATTCGTACCCACCTTTCCCGTGGAACTCACTTTCCGGGAGGATCCCCAGGGTGAGCCTCTACCTTTTCAAACTTGAGCCATCGCTTGTATCCAAAAATCCAAGCGAGTAAGGCCCGCGAAGCCGCGGGAAGGTCTGAGCCAAAACTTCGTCCCACTCTCCCCTTTCAAGAGCGGAGAAGCTGCAGGGCCGGTTCGCGGCTCCGGGCGGAGAGGCGGCGCGGTGTTGCTGCGGGCGGACACCAGCCCCGCGGTCCCCGCCGGTGCCCCTGTTCCCCCGGGAGGCCACCTGTCGCGGCGAACTCGCCCACAGCCTGAGGGAAAAGCCGGCGTCCCCAGCGGGTCTCTCTCCCCCCCTACCTAGTCTCTTTCCAGATCTGTCATCCTCTGGCCACTGACAGAATCGTTGCCTAGATGCTCTTTCTCAGAGCCCAGATCCGAATCGACCCAAAACAAAGCACATCAATAAAGCAGCCACGACGACGTCGCAGCCCGCGGCGTGTACCTCGTTAGAGTGAAAGCGTACACCCCCGCCGAAATGCCCGAATCGGAAATAAAGGTTTCCTGCTGCTAGTCCGCCGTCCACACTTACTAC